CTCTACCACTGAGCCACCTTCCCAGCCCTACATAATGGAATTTTACACAGCCATTAGAAAGAAAAAAAACAATGTCATTTGCAGGGAAATGAATGGAAGTAAAACAAATCATATTAAGTGAGGTAAGCCAAGCCGAGAGAGATAAATGGCACATTTTTTTTCTGATTTGCAAAAATTAGACCTAAAATACACCGGGATATGATTTTTTTTAAAAAAAGTCATGAGACCAAAAGAAGATACTCAGGAGAGAAACAGAAAGGCACAAGGCCTAAGTGCCTTATCATGTTTATATAAAATAATGCACATATGTAAATGGACTCCAAGAAATGGAAACAAATCTCTTTTCTTTCAAGTTTTTATTTATAATCTTTATTTTTGATGATTCTGTCTACTTTTCCTCATGTATGGTGTATTCAGAAGGGTTGTGGGTACAGAACTGGAGGAATAAAGGGTAAAAGGGTAAAACACTTGGTAGGTGTGACGTACCAACACCTACCTTGATTGCAAAATCTTGTGGGCATTCATCCACTCTTATGGATGCTGGAACCTCAGGTTCTCAACTTGGGACTCTATCACTGAGCCACACCTCCACTTCAGCTTTTTGGTGATTAGTTGGAGACAAGAGTCTCACAGACTTTCCTGCCCAGGCTGGTTTTCAACTGTAATCCTCAGATCTCAGCTTCCAAAGTAGCTAGGATTATAGGTGAGAACCACATCCATCCTCTTATTTACACTGCTACCTCTGTGCCTGGTCTTTTGAGCTAAGGATTCATCACTGATGAAAGTGAATTATACAACTCATGGGTGGAGACAGGAGGGAAGGACTGGGAGAGGATGAGGGAACAGAAGACACTGTACGAAAGGAAATGTACGTGTCACCGGACTCGTCATTGTAATCTCTCTGAACATCACCTCTAAAATAAGAATAAAATAAATTAATAATTAAGAGAAAGGAAGGAAGGAAGGTGGAAGGCAGGTTTCAAGCTATAGAATGCTAGCCTTGAGTGAAAAGGCTCAGGGACAGCACCCAGGCCCTGAGTTCAAGCCCCAGGACTGGCAAAAATAAAAAAAATAATAAAAATTTAAAAAAATAAAAGAAAGGGAGGTAAGGAAGCAAGCTACCAATGAATTTCGGGAATCTGAAGCCAGGCCAACATCCTTGCAGATTCAGAGGCTCAGAAGCATCAGGTGTGTGCAGTTTCCATGGAAACTCTCTGGCCAAATCCTCCTGGCAGCAGCGTTGGGCGGGTGGGTGGGACCTGGGGGGCTCCGCCCACACTCGTCTCTGAGAGCCAATAATAGGCTGGAGCGACGCCCGTCATCAACGAAAATGGGTGGAGCCTCAGGGCGCCGGCGCCTGGCCGTCGGTGCGCACGCGCCCTCCCAGCATGCCTCGGGCGCGCGGGCGGCGGGCACCTTAGTCTGCGGAGCGCGGTGGTGGCGCCGGGTTCCACGGGGAGCTGAGGCGCCCGCCGCGGCTCAGGCGGCCAGGCGAGGAGGACCAGGTACCGGCAGCAGGCCGCCGTCGCAGACCCAGTCAACATGAAGCCCCCCGCAGGTACTGGCTGCCCCTCGCCGAGGCCCGGCTCGGGGGCACCCGGCTGTCCTTTTATCACCCGAGCGCCTCCCGGGACCGTGATTTGGGGCCTAAGACCCGGGCCGAGACACCGTGCAGGGATCCTCAAAACCGGGGCTAGGAGGAGGGCGGCGGGCGACCCCGTCTCCCTGGTCTGGGGGAGGAATTGAACCCACAGCGTCCATCCAGAAACTTCCACCACGGATGGGATGGGTGGGGCTCGGTGGTGGACTGTGGTTAGACCCTTCCTCCCTCTCCTTTTCCTCCCGAAGGGTCATCCCACAAAATGTAAATGAGCCGTGGGAAGTAAACGTGGTGGAGGCTGTCTTAGGGGGAAAGAATTCCCTAGAAGAGTTCCCGGAGGGCTTCTCGGAGGTGGTGGCCTTGGGACCGAGACTCTAGGGGAGAAGCAGTTATCCCAGAAGTTGTCCAGGGGAACACACACACAAATAGAAGTGAGGAGCCTTTTTTCTCCCAAAGGCCATTTGGATGTTAATAACCTTGTCAGGCTATATATGAAATTGTAAAAATGGGAAGCCAATGAGAAGCATATAGTGTTTGTCCTGTTGTGCAACAAATGATTTCCTAGGCTTGATACAACCCACTGGCCCCATGTTCCCCATCACTGGTAAGCTGGGATTTTTTTTTTTTTTTAAGATCAGGAGACACTATTGGGTTTCATTGGGGAACACTATGACCTGCATACTACATTTTAGAAAATCATTGAAATTGTGTGACGCCTATTGCTTAGATCCTTGCCTAGCCTCTAAGTTCTTTCCCCTCAGCCTACTTAGTAATGATGATAATTAGTTATTTAGCTTTCTGGAAGGCAGGAATGTCGTCTACCTTGTTTGCTGATGAATCCTTAGCTCAAAAGACCAGGCACAGAGGTAGCAGTGTAAATAAGAGAATGGGATGTGGTTCACACCTATAATCCTAGCTACTTTGGAAGCTGAGATTTGAGGATTAGTTGAAAGCCAGCCTGGGCAGGAAAGTCTGTGAGACTCTTGTCTCCAATTAATCACCAAAAAGCTGAAATGGAGATGTGGCTCAGTGATAGTCCCAAGTTGAGAACCTGAGGTTCCAGCATCCATGAGAGAGTGAATGCCCACAACATTTTGCAATCAAGGTAGGTGTTGGTAGGTCACACCTATAATCCTCGCTACTAAGAAGGCCCAGATCTGAGGATTACAGTTCAGAGCCAACCTTGGCAGGAAAGCCTACCAAAAGAAGCCAGAAGTACAGCTATGGCTAAGTAATAGAGCACTTGCCTTGAGCAAAAAAGCTCAGGACTAAGCCTAGGCCTGGAGTTCAAGCTTTAGGACTGGTGCGTATGCACACAAAGATTTTTTAAACCTATATCCTTCCCAGAGTGGGTTCAGATAGTTCTAGCTCCTCTTGTTCCCCACCTTGCCTGACTTCCCAACCTCTTCCCCCTTCCACTTTTTTTGTGTGTGTGTGTGCTGGTCTTGGGGCTTGAACTCAGGGCCTGGGCTCTGTTCCTGAGCTTTTTTTCTCAAGGCTATATAGGTCTACCACTTGAGCCACAGGTCCACTTCATTTTGGAGAGAGTGGTTAATTGGAGATAGTCTCACAGTCTTTCCTACCTAGGGTGGCTTCCAACCTGGATCCTCAGATTTCAGCCTCCTGAGTAGCTAGGATTATAGGCATGGGCCACCAGCACCCAGCTAGAAACCCTTCTTCGTTGTCGTCGTCATCTTTTTTTTTTTTCCTCCAGTCCTGGGGCTTGAACTCAGGGCCTGAGCACTGTCCCTAAACTACTTTTGCTCAAGGCTAGCACTCTACCACTTGAGCCGTAGCACCACTTCCAGTTTTCTAGTGGTTTATTGGAGATAAGTCTCTCGGACTTTCCTGCCCAGGCTGGCTTTGAACCGTGATCCTCAGATCTCAACCTCCTGAGTAGGATTACAGGTGTTAGCCACCAACGCCCGGCTTAGAAATCCTTCTTGATTACAAGTTTAATTCAACACACTGTTCTCTTTCTGCCCTTCTGAAGTCTCAGAGGCTGTGCAGAAGCTTTGCCCAGTTCTCACCAAAGTTGCTTGGCTAGAAAAACCTTTCTTTGGGGCTGGGAAGCTGGGCACTGGTGGTTCACTCCTGTTACTCTAGCTACTCAAGAAGCTAAGATCTGAGGATCAAAATTCAAAGCCAACCTAGGCAGGAATGTCCATGAGACTCTTATCTCCAGTTAACCACCAGAAAACCAGAAGTGGTGTTGTGGCTCAAGTGGTAGAGCGCTAGCCTTGAGCTGAAGAGCACAGAGACAGTGCTCAAGTCCAGAGTTCAAGAGCCACGACCAACCAAAAAAAAAAAAAAAAAGTCTCATGGAGTTTCCTGCCCAGGCTTGCTTCCAACCATGATCCTCAGATCTCAACCTCCTGAGTAGCTAGGATTACAGGCCTGAGCCACCAGCACCTGGGTAAGGGTGGGGATTTTAACAACATGAGCAACAGTTGAGGCTGACATGTTCTGTGGTGGCATATCAGGCCCTGTGAGGCACTGAACAGCATAGCTTCCACCTGGTTTCTACCTATGCTGAGCTAGTGGCTCCTTTCCTTCCCCAGGCTGTGACCATCACAGCTGGAGGGGGCTCAGGGATACCTCCCCCTGCTCTAGAGGATCAGTCTCTCCTTTCCCACCCCCATAACCTCTGGGCCTAGCTTACCCCAGTTACTTTGTTCCCAAGTGTGGCAGTCACACGAGATGAGCCCTGCTTTGCTTCCTCTGTCCAGCCTGTGCCGGGGATGTCCTGGACTCTACATCGCCATGCTCTGTCACCAACTACCTCAGGTGGGACCTGAGCGCCCAGCAGATTCAGGCGCTCACCAAGGAACTCATCGAGCAGACTAAGCGCGTGTATGACCAAGTTGGTGCCCAGGAGTTTGAGGAGGTGACCTATGAGAGCACGCTCAAGGCATTGGCCGACGTGGAGGTGTCCTACACAGGTGAGGCTGGCTCAGGGCCTGGTGCCCAGGAGGCAGCGTGACAGGGGTCATGTGACAGACAGCTCAGGTGCCCATGCCCTGGCTGCATGGTGGCCCAGCTACTTGCAAGGTGGGTGTGAGCAAGACAACAGAGTCAGGTCTAGCGGGTTGCCGTCATCGGGTGCCCGTCCGTGCCCTCCTCCAGTCAGCCTGCTTCCTGGTTGTGCCGTCTGAATCCAGCCCAGGTGGCAGCCTGGAAACTCAAGCCCCCGTAGCCACCTCCCCTCCCAGTATTTGTATTTGTTTTCTGCCTGAATTCTAGAACTGGGTCTTTGTTGCAGTTTCTTTTTTTTTTTTTTTTTGCCGGTCATGGGGCCCGAACTCTGGGTCTGGGCGCTGTCCCTCAGCTCTTCAGCTCAAGGCTAGCGCTCTACCACTGGAGCCACAGCGCCACTTCTGGCTTTTTCTGTTTATGTAGTACTGAGGAATCGAACCCAGGGCCTCATGCTTGCAAGGCATGCACTCTACCACTGAGCCACCTTCCCAGCCCCCTTTGTTGCAGTTTCTGTACCCTATTCTTCACTCTGTTGGCTTTTCTTTTTTTGTGCTGGACCTGGGGCTTGAACTCTGGGCCTGGGTGCTGTCCCTGAGCTGCTTTTTGCTCAAGGCGAGCACTCTACTACTTGAGCCACGGCATCGCTTCTGGCTTTTTTTGGAATAGTTTTATTAGAGATAAAAGTCTCAAGGTTTCCTGCTTGGGCTGTCTTCAAACTGCAGTCCTCAGATCTCAGCCTCTTGAGTAGCTAGGATTACAGGTGTGAGCCACTAGCGTCCAGCTCTCTTGGCTTTTCTTTTGAGACACCACTTGCTACATTCATGGGGCAGGTTTCAAACTCCCAGGCATAATCAACCGCCTCATTAGGCCTACTGAGCAGATTGGGTGACAGAGCCACCGCACACTGCTTTTTAGCCGGTGTCCTAACTCATTACCTGAGACCTGGTCAGTTACCCAAAAAAGAGTGGTTTTGGCTCAGGGACCTGGTTGCTGGAAATGAAGATGGGGAAGGCATCCGGTAAGGGCTGTGCTACCTGAGTCACAGCAGAGGGGAGACTGGCCTCAGGGAATGAGCCCTGGGCAGGGCGGGTACCTAGAGGACTACAGGACATAATGAGATCTCCAGCGATCCCTTAGGAGCAGCCTTTCCCTGATCCTGGCCTCCTTGTTCCCCTCAGGGACCCCATGGGTTTCGTAATCAAGCGGAGTATATTTGTGCTCTCCCTTCCACCTCCTACTTCAGCCTGAGGCCTTTGCCTAGTTCTCACCACACAGGTTCTTCTTCAGGCTTCTGCTTAACCTGTGAGGACCTGGGATTGGAAATGATATCCCATGGCCCCTTCATAGTGGTCTGCAGTATACAGGGGTCAAAGGATCGAGAGACCTTGAAGCAGGGCTCTCTGGACGAGTGGACTTCTGCCCTCATGGGCACAGGTAGCTCATAGCTGTAATCCTAGCTATTCAGGAGGCTAAGATCTGAGGATCACAGTTTAAGGCTATCCTAGTCAGGAAAATCTGGTAGACTCATATCTCCAGTTAACCAACAGAAAAGCCAGAAGTGGATCTTTGGCCTTGAGGGAAGAAGCTAAGTGACAGCACCCAGGCCCTGAGTTCAAGCACCAGAGCACACACACAAGAATATTCCCTGAGCGGGCGCCGGTGGCTCACACTTATAAACCTGCTACTCAGGAGGCTGAGATCTGAGGATCACGCTTCAAAGCCAGCCTAGGCAGGAAAGATTGTTAGACTCCTATCTCCAATAAACCACTAGAAAACTGGAAGTGGGGCTGTGGTTCAAGTGGTAGAGCACTCACCTTGAACTGAAGAGCTAAGAGAAAGCACCCAGGCCCAAAAAAAAAAAGAATATTCCCTGAATTTTACGTTGGCATTCTCATGGGTCCCTGATGCACAGATGGGTTAATTACCCCAGCCTTGCACCTCTCAGACTGCTGGTGGTTGGGGCTGCTGCTGGACAGGGACAGCGAGTGGGGTCAGGCTCTGGGTGGGGATCGGCATCAACTGTATGAGTGACTGCTTTGGGTGCTAGGTTAACTTTACCAGGAGCTGGTTCCCCAACCGCCATCAAGCAGCATCTCCTTCCTTCCCTGTCTTTTCTGGGCATCCTTCCTGCTGCCTCTCCCCTCCCGCGCCCCAGTCAGCACCCCATGACTCTGATGGTACTGTGTCCACTATCACCCATTGCAGTGCAGAGGAACACCCTGGACTTCCCGCAGCACGTGTCCCCATCCAAGGACATCCGGACGGCCAGCACAGAGGCGGACAAGCAGCTGTCGGAGTTCGACGTGGAGATGAGCATGAGACAGGACGTGTACCAGAGGATCGTCTGGCTGCAGGTGAGGGCCGGTGGGAGCCACGTGGTGCCCAGTGGGGAGCCCCAGCACAGCAGCCAGTGTGGGGGCCTGCGGCCCCTCACAGCCATCTCTGCACATCACTCCTGCTGTGGCTTAGCAACTGCCTTCAGTGCCCATGGGACTCCATTGTCTTCCTCCCAGCTTGGCAGGGTTCTTGCTGTTGCTGGGCTGTGTTTGGTGATGAGGACCCCAGGGGTCCCCCCTGCTGCCTCTCACTATGGCTACTGGGGCCCAACATGGGCAGCATGACCAGCCTGGCTGTGGAGGTACGGGTGTGTGTTGGGGTGGGGCGGGGCGGGGGGGATGTGATGGCTTACTCCGTGGTGCTGGGGAACCCAGGCCTCACCACGCTTGGCCAGTGCTTGGCCATTTGTCCGTTGAGTTTCTATTGAGACACTAGTTGGTTCACAGCCAGTAACACGGGGCACTTTGCCTGATTCCCACTGGTGCCACGTTGTATAACATCAGTACAGTCCTTGGCCAGTGCCACCCACGTCATGCCAGCGCAGAGTCTTCCTCCCTCTTCCTCTGCGTCATCTCAGCTAGGCTGCTTCCGGCCACACCCTCAGGGACACAGGCCACAGGCCGCCACCTGTGAGCTCAGCAGCGTGGTAGCCAGGCCTGTGGTGTGGGGTTGGTTTTCAGGAAAGCCGGCTGCCATGGGAGTAGCTACAGTGTCTGGTCCCCACTGTGCAGGTAGCCGTGGCACCGCTGCCTGCCCTGCCCCCTGTCCCCCAACATGCTGATCTCCTTCCTAGGAGAAAGTGCAAAAGGATACATTGAGGCCCGAAGCCATGCGGTACCTAGAGCGGCTCATCAAGCTGGGCCGGAGGAACGGCCTCCACCTCCCCAAGGAAACACAGGAGGTGAGTGGGGTCTCCCAGGAGCACCCCAGCAGGGCTCCCACATGCGCTCACCCATGGCCCTCCTCCCACATGGCCTTCTTGCCCTTCAGAAAATCAAGAACATTAAGAAGAAGCTGAGCCTCCTGTGCATCGACTTCAACAAGAACCTGAACGAGGACACCACCTTCCTGCCCTTCACGCGCGAGGAGCTGGGTGAGCTGCAGTGCACGGGACAGCCGCGAGGAACCGGCGCTGCCGCCTGCCTGGGTGTCCTGGACACAAGCACAAAGCCTTCTCCTGGTGGACTTTAGGGCTTGGTGGACAATGGGCTTCTAAATCCTTCCTTGGAAAGGCCAGTCGCTGACCCAGCTTTTGACTGAGAACAGAAGCCCAGGGCCTTTTTATGTGTGTTTGAGTTTTGAGATTGGGTCTGTGGGAAATCTCCTGGGTTCTCTGTTCACTCCCTAGCAGTCTGCTTTGTCTGTGGTTTTTTTGTTTCTTTTGGTGTTACTGGTACAGATGCTTCATGCTGAGCCATACCTCAGCCCTTTTTTGTCTAGTTGTCTGGCAGAAAGGAGCCTGCATTTTTGCTTAGGGCCAGCCTTAGATCTTGACCCCATACCTATGCTTCCTACAAAGCAGGGATTATAGTTGTATGCACCAGTATGCTTTTCTGTACCCATGGTCAGGTGAGGACTAGCTTTTCTGCTCCTGAGTCTTTTTTTTTTTTTTGTCTGTCATGGGGCTTAAACTCTGGGCCTGAACATTGTCTCTCAGCTCTTCAGCTTAAGGCTAGCACTCTGCCACTTGAGCTACAGCGCCACTTCTGGTTTATTGGAGATGTTTTATGGCCTTTCCTGCTCAGGCTGGCTTTATACCTGGATCCTCAGAGCTCAGCCTCCTGAGTAGCTAGGATGCTGGTGAGCCACCAGCACCCAGCTCCTCGAGTCTTCTTTGAGGCAGGACCGTCCTCAGCCTGCTCTACCTTGCTGTGTATGGATGCCTGTGGGATTAGCTCCAGGCATCCAGAGCCCGCTCTGCGCTCTGCATTAGGGGTTGGATTTGAAAGTGGCCAGGGACAGTGTTTAGGGTAGGGGAGTGGGGTGCCCACTGCCTGGGTCAAAACAAGCCTGAGAGGGAAGCTGGCCTGGTCATCTTTTAGGAAAAGCAGGTTCTCTCTGTGTCTTCCTCTCCCCTTCATCCTTTCCCCCTTTAGCTCCCCCCCCCGCCCCAGATCTCGGGGGCTGGGCACCCCCACTGTTGGTGCATGCCAGCCCCTCACTGCGCTGCCTCCTGTCCTGCTCCTGCAGGGGGGCTCCCCGACGACTTCCTGAACTCGCTGGAGAAGACGGAGGATGGCAAGCTGAAAGTCACCCTCAAGTACCCGCACTACTTCCCCCTCCTGAAGAAGTGCCACGTGCCTGAGACCCGGAGGAAGATGGAGGCGGCCTTCAACTGCCGCTGCAAGGAGGTGAGGCGCCTGCGCCCCTCTGCCCGTCCTGGGCTCTGCCTCTGGCTCTTCAAGCCAGGCAGACGCCCGCACGGGACACCGCGTCCCTGCTCCAGCTTGTGCCTGTGCAGGCTCTGTGCCCATCTCTCAGTGAGGATGGCTCCTGGTTCCTAGAGGCAGCGTGGGGTCCACACTTGAGATCCAGGCCCACACTGTGTGCAGCTGGTGGCACAGAGGCAGACAGGCACCTTTGGGTGCTGCCAGGGCCACTTGGTTCTGAGTGGGCCCTGCATCTCCTAAGTGACAGCGCTGCATAGCTTGCTTTTGGCATAGTGGTGACACCCTCGGGGACAGCTTGTCCTGTCGGAGCCCTGTCTGGTTTTGAAGAGGACCCTGGACTCACCCACAGCTCTCCTGACAGGAGAGGCATGGGGGCCACTGGGCAGATGTGCAGGGGCGCTGGGCGAGCGGGTGGAGTGGAGGCATGCAGCCACCCTGGGCCCCGGGCAGGATGCAGGCGTGGCTGGCTGTAGGCATGCAGCCGACGCTGTGTGTGGCCTGCAGGAGAACTGTGCCATCCTGAAGGAGCTGGTGGCCCTGCGTGCCCAGAAGTCCAGCCTGCTGGGGTTCAGCACACATGCTGACTACGTCCTGGAAATGAACATGGCCAGGAACAGCCAGTCAGTGGCCACCTTCCTAGGTAACCCGCAGACCAACAAGGATGGGGTGCAGCTGCCCGCCCCCCAGGCGTGACTCTGGTGGACTGGCATTGGCCTGGCATCTGGTGTGGGGTGTTGGTACCTGCTCTGTGCCCCTTCTGGCAGGAGCCGGATGTCAGAGAACGCCCCCTCCTCCACAGATGAGCTGGCCCGGAAACTGAAGCCCCTTGGGGAACAGGAGCGGGCAGTGATCCTGGAGCTGAAGCAGGCTGAGTGTAAGAAGCGGGACCTGCCCTTCGACGGCTGCATCAACGCGTGGGACATGCGCTACTACATGAACCAGGTGGAGGAGACGCGCTACCGCGTGGACCAGAACCTGCTCAAGGAGTACTTCCCCATGCAGGTGGTCACCCAGGGGCTGCTGGCCATCTACCAGGAGCTCCTGGGGCTCTCCTTCGCCCTGGAGGAGGGTGCCAGCGTGTGGCACGAGGACGTGCGGCTCTACTCCGTGCGGGACACGGCCTCAGGGGCGGTGATCGGCAAGTTCTACCTGGACCTGTACCCCAGGTAGGAACCCCTTCCCCAGCAGCACCACGGGAGGGAGGCACACCTGCCCTGCCCACACCTGGATGCGGGCAGAGGATCCTGGGACCACAGGACAAGGAGATGTGGGTCAGTTGCAGAAGTAGACGCCCAGGGGGCTCTGGTGAGGGAGCCTAGCCCCTCTGCCCAATAGCCCGGTGGGATGGTGGAACGTGGGGTGGAGCAGAGTGGACACGTGGACAGATTCTGACCCCATCTCCCCGTGCCTCCCAGGGAAGGGAAGTACGGCCATGCAGCCTGCTTCGGCCTGCAACCCGGCTGCCTGCGTCAAGATGGCAGCCGCCAGATCGCCATCGCAGCCATGGTGGCTAACTTCACCAAGCCCACGCCAGACGCCCCGTCCCTGCTACAGCACGACGAGGTGGAGACCTACTTCCATGAGTTTGGTCACGTGATGCACCAGCTGTGCTCGCAGGTGTGTGCTGTGGCTGTGGCGGCCCTGCTCTCTAGCTCCCCTTAAAATGCCTCCCCATGGTGATGGGGGTTTCCCTTGTCTCAGACCTGCAGGCGGGAGCTGGGGTGAAAGCATCCGGCTGCTTCCTCCTGCAGCCATCTGACCTGGTCTTAGGAGCTGGACAGACTAGATTAGCCACCTGCCTACTCTCTTTAAAGACACCATAAGCTGTCACCTTGTCCCCTCTCTAGCCCCTGCCCCTACATGTCCCCTTTCTGTCTCTGGATCCACTTATTCTAGATGCTTCCTATCAATGAAGCCACACACTGGGGGCCTTTTGTGGGTGCTGCTCTTTCCTGAGCACAGCGGCCTCAGGTCCCTCCATGCTGTAGTGCAGCTCACAGTCTTGTCCTGTTCCTGGCTGGGTAACTGTCCTGTAAGGACATGACCATGCTTTGGAAAGGTGCGTGTGCGCGTGCGCATGCGCGTGTGCATGCCAGGGCTGGGCCCTGGACGCTTAAGTTTTTTGCTGAAGGCTGGCTTTTTTCCACTTGACACGCCTCCACTTCTGGCTTTTTTTGGTAGTTCATTGGAGATAAGTGTCTCACATTCTTTCCTGTCCAGGCTTGGGTTTTTTGTTTGTTTGTTTTTTGAGTCGGTCGTGGGGCTTGAACTCTGGGCTTGGGCGCTGTCCCTGCACTCTTCAGCTCAAGGCGAGCGCTCTACCACTTGAGCCACAGCGCCACTTCTGGCTTTCTAGTGGTTTATTGGAGATAAAAGTCACAGACTTTCCTGCCCAGGCTGGCTTTGAAGTGTGATCCTCAGATCTCAGCCTCCTGAATAGGTAGGATTCCAGGCCTGAGCCACCGGCGCCCGGCATCCAGGCTGGTTTGGACCCAAGATCTTCAGGTCTCAGTATCCTGAGTGGCTAGGGTTATAGATGTGGGCCACTGGCTACTTCTGGTGTTTGGATGAGCCCCCCTAAGCACAGCCTGCATGCTCCTTATGCAGTTAAGGCTCCCCTGGCCCTGTGGCCATCTAGTCACATTGTGTGTGAGCCCCAGTGTACCTCTGGCTGGCCTGCGAGAGGGCTAGCGGTGAGCAGCCAGACCTCCCTAAGGCTGTGCCATCCTTTGCAGGCGGAGTTTGCCATGTTCAGTGGGACCCACGTGGAGCGGGATTTTGTGGAGGCGCCATCACAGATGCTGGAGAACTGGGTGTGGGAGAAGGAGCCGCTGCTGCGCATGTCCCAGCACTACCGCACTGGCGGCACCATGCCCCAGGAGCTGCTGGACAAGCTCATCAAGTCCCGGCAGGCCAACACCGGCCTCTTCAACCTGCGCCAGATCGTCCTGGCCAAGGTGGACCAGGCCCTGCACACGCGGTCCGGAGTGGACCCGGCCGAGGAATATGCCCACCTCTGCCAGGAGATCCTCGGGGTCCCAGCCACGCCAGGTAGCTACTCCCACCTCCCACAGCACAGCCTCGCACACCCAGGCCTGTAGTGCAGCTCTGTGGCGTGGCTGCCTAGGACACCATGTTGAATGGACACTCGTGTCCTGTTCTCTCTCAGAGGGGATACCAGGCCATGTGGTGTTAGGTCCCGTGGTGGTAGGCTGCTCAGCCCCCTGCAGGGTCCCCCAGAGAACCAGCTGCCGGGGTCCTCTGTCCTGTGAGGACAGAGCCTGAGTCCTGAGCCTCTCCCTGTGTCTGCCCAGGTACCAACATGCCCGCCACATTCGGCCACCTGGCGGGGGGCTACGACGCACAGTACTACGGCTACCTGTGGAGCGAGGTGTTCTCCATGGACATGTTCCACACGCGCTTCAAGCAGGAAGGCGTGCTCAACCCCAAGGTGAGGCCCTGGGGCGTGAGGGCCTGCTGCTGGCCCTGCGGGTTCACAGCCCATGGCCCTGGGGCCTGAGTGCCCACTCCAGCTCATAGTCTTCCCTGGCACCAAGTCTGTGCCCCTCCCTCACTGTGCCCACGGGCCTCTGGAGGCACCCACAGGCCTCTGGAGGCACCCACAGGCCTCTGGAGGCACCCACAGGCCTCTGGAGGCACCCACAGGCCTCTGGAGGCACCCACAGGCCTCTGGAGCCTTGAGTGGGTAGGGGAGCCTCCCACCCCAGTGGCCGGGCTCAGCTCCCTGTGTCCCCCAGGTCGGCATGGACTACCGGACCACCGTCCTGAAGCCCGGCGGCTCCGAGGATGCCAGCGCCATGCTGAAGCTCTTCCTGGGCCGAGAACCCAAGCAGGATGCCTTCCTCCTGAGCAAGGGGCTGCAGGTGGAGGGCAGCGAGGAGGCCGCCTGCTGACAGCCCCGCCCCTGCCACACCTGCCGCCCGGTGCCTTAGCCCCAACTGGGACGGGGTCCCAGCTGCGATCCTGGGGCCTGATGGGCGGGGCAAGCCCCCAGCAACTCGTCATCATTGTCCAGGCGGCAGATCCCCTGTGGGCAGGGGCCAGCCGGGTTGGCTGGGGGAGCCGCCCCATAGGTGGGGTGTGGGCGAGCACCCCCGCCCAGCTGTCAGTTCCTACTGCGTGGTCCTGTGGGTCAGCCATTAAACACTTGAAGGGCACTCCCTGCCTGGTTCTTACCCGACCTCTCCATCCCATGGGGAGTCCAGCCAGGTGCCAGGGTCCCACCCACAGCTTCGGGGTGCTCTGGTCTCTTGTCTGCTCCACTTTCTCTGGGTGTGACGCGCCCCCTGGGGTCTGGGGAGGCCATGCTGTTGGCTGGGGGTCTGCCCAGGCTGGGAAGCGAGAAGGGCCACAGGGCTGTCTGCTTCTGGCCCACATCCCCCCTACCAGAGTTCTGGAACATTCCTCCCCATCTGTACTCAGCTCTGGGTCACTGTGGGACCAGACTTGGCGCTCAGGCTGTGGGAGGTTGGCACCTGTGTGCATATAAGCTGCGTGTCCGTGGGGCCAAGGGGAGGTTTTGCGCCTCTGGCTTGTGTTCACTGCAGAGTTGGGGGCGGCACCAGTGCTGGGAACAGGTGGTGTGGGCTGGGCTGCCCTCCATGTGCTGTGTTCCTGAGGTGGCACCATGGCCACCTCGTGCATGCAGTCTCTGGCCAGGCCTGCTCCCCTTCACGTGGCCTGAGAGCCTGGGTGTGGAGCGGGTTCTCAGCGGAGCTGGCAGCAGGCTGCGTGGCCGAGCCCACGCCAGGCCCAGCAGCTGTCACTTAGGCCTGAAATACCCAAAGGGAACCGCAGCAGGGTGGGGCTTTTGCTGCTGCTGCCAAGCCCCCAAGTGGGCCTCCCTCTGGCCTAGCATGAAGCCAGACAAATGCTGGGGAGTTGGGGTGAGCTGGGCACGGCCGAGGACAGCTGCAGGAAGGATGTGTGTCCACCAGCTTGGACAGCTCTGGGACTTAACAATAGTATCCCACCCTCAACCTGCACTAGCTGGGCTATCTTTCTGGATAGGGGCTCTGAGGCCATGGGGCTTGGGGCAACTGGGGAGCAGCTTGCTGGTTTTGCACTACTGTGCACCAACGCTGCCAACACCTTCACCTCTGGTCAGGGAACTGGGTAGGGGCTTGCGTGGCCCTGGACTTGTTCCCACAGCATGAGCCAAAGGGAACTAGACAAGCTGCGTATCTTGGGTTCTCAGTAACGGGAAGCAGGTTCTCACAGGCCCTTTGTCAGGGTGACCCCAAGGGGCTAGGCTGTGGCCCATGGGTGAAAACTTGCTTGCTTGGCCTGGGAGGCCCTGACTCCAAACCCCAGAGAGCTCGGGCATGCTGTCTGCCGGGTAGAATGTGGCTAAAAGGTGCTGGTTGTGAGCCTCAAAGCCGCCCTATGCCAGGTGCTGGTGACTCACGTCTGAAATCCCAACTACTCAGGAAACAGACCTGAGGATCACAGTTCAAAGTCGGCATGAACAGAAAAGTCTGGGACTCCTCTCCAGTTATCCACCAAAAAACTGGAAGTGAAGCTGTGGCTCTAATGGTAGAGTGCCGAACGTGAGTGAAAAAGAGAAGGGATAGCACCCAGGCACTGAGTTCAAGCCCCTGGACTGGCACCAAAACAAAAGCAAAAGCTACCCAAACCAGTCCAGCAGACCCTGAAGCTAGCTGCACACCTCTGCCTTTAACTCCCAGCCCCAGATCAGAGCAAACAGTCTCTGTGGTTTGGGAGCTTCTGTGGTTTGGGGTGCTATTTGTTACAGCAGTTCTAGACTTGCGTGATTTCAACATCCCCCTTTCCCTCCCAGGGATAAGGTCACATCTTGGCTAAGTCCTGGTGCATCTGTGACTTCCTACGTCTTCTCTGTCCTTACTGCACTTGGAATTCCTTCTCAACTTGAGTCACTACTGAACTCCCTATAAGTTGCCTTGTGAGTTGTGAACAGCACACACCCAGTTCTCAGACTTGTGGTCTGTGTTCAGGCCATCACAATGGCTTCTCAGTATTTGCAGTCCACTGTGCCTGCTGTACTGGCTGTGCCCAGCAGGTGACAGTGTCACCCCTCAGCCTCACCTCCCCCTACTCAACACATTCCTGGTCCTCAAAGGAACTTGGATAGGGCCCCTGTAAGTCCTCTGGAAGATGGCTTTCTCTCCTAGACCAGCCCATTTAAGGAGTTGCAGTCTAAACCGCCACCCATTTCGGATCCAGTAGCCACCACAAAAAAGAAGCAGACATCAACTCTAGTGATTTGTTTCACCCAACATAGTGAACATGGCATTACTAGAAACTGCTAATAAGATATAGATTTCTTTTTCAACCAAAATCTTCAGAATACTTCAATTTGGAAGTCACATTTCAAGGCTTGATAGTAGCCACATGTGGGCAGTAGCTGCTGTATTGTATAACCAAGAGAACAAACCAAGCATTGAGTTTTGCTTTGTGCTGGTCCTGGGGCTTGAACTAGGGACCTGTCAGGGCACTGTCCTGAGCTTTTTTTTTTGTTCAAGGCTAGCTCTGTACCACTTAAGCCATAGCTTTTCTGTCATTAACTAAAGACTAAAGCCAGGGACCGGTGGCTCACGCCTGTAATCCTAGCTACTTAGGAGGCTGAGATCTGAGGATCACGGTTCAAAGCCAGCCTGGGCAGAAAAGCCTGTGAGACTGATCTCCAATAAACCACTAAAAAACCAGAAGTGGCGCTGTGGTTCAACCGGTAGAGTGCTCACCTTGAGCTGAAGAGCTGAGGGATAGCGCCCAAGCCCAGAGTTCAAGCCCATGGCAGACAAGGGAAAAAAAAGTACGATTTTAGCTGGGCCCTAGTGGCTCACACCTGTAATCCTAGCTACTCTGGAGGCTGAGATCTGAAGATCCCAGTTCAAAGCCAGCGCAGGCATGAGACTCTTATCTCCAATTAACCACCAGAAAACCAGAAGTGGCACTGTGGCTTAAGTGATAGAGTGCTAGTCTTGAGCTGAACAGCACAGGGACAGCCCAAGCCCAGAATTTAAGAGCCACAACTAGCTGGGCGCCCGTGGCTCCCTAGCCACTCAGGAGACTGAGATCTGAGGATAGCGGTTCAAAGCCAGTCTGGGCAGGAAAGTCCACTCAGGGCCCAAGTGCTGTCCCTGAGCTCCTCTGCTCAAGTGGTCTTTGAGTGGTTAACCGGAGATAAGAGTCTCACGGTCTTTTCTGCACAGGCTGGCTTTGAAGCTCAATCCTCAGATCTCAGCCTCCTGAGTAGCTAGGATTACCAGCGTGAGCCACTGGCGCCTGGCTCTTTTTAATTTTTTAAAAACTTTTATTAAGGTGTTGTACAGAGGGATTACCATTTCATTTTTTTCTCTCTCTCTTTCTTTCTTTTTGGGTCCAGTTGTGGGGCCTGAACTCTGGGCCTGGCCGCTGTCCCTCAGCTCTTCAGCTCAAGGCTAGCGCTCTACCACTTGAGCCACAGCGCCACTTCCGGCTTTTTTCTTTTTGCTTATGGGGGTGCTGAGGAATCAAACCCAGGGCCTCAGACATGCAAAGCAAGCGCTCTACCACTGAGCCAACTTCCCAGCCCCTTCCTTCCTTCCTTCCTTCCTTCCTTCCTTCCTTCCTTCCTGCCAATCCTGCGGCTTGAACTCAGGGCCTGGGCTCTGTCCCTGAGCTGAGCTGCTTTTATTCAAGGCTAGCACTGTACCACTTGAGCCACAGCACCACTCCTGACTTTTTCTGTGTATGTGGTACTGAGGAATCGAACCTGGGCCTTCGCACACTACCACTAAGCCACATTCCCAGCCCCCATTTCATACTTTTCTATTTTCAGACAACGTCACCCCTTTGTACAAACTAGGGTGGGACTGGGAGAGCAGGCCAATTGGGCGGGGCTAGAGAACTATCCAATTGGGAGGAGCTAGGGTGGGGCTAGAGAACTGTCCAATTGGGAGGAAGAACTAGGCCAGGGCCGGATGGCAGTCCAATCAGGGGCGCTGCAGTCAGTCTGGCCAATGAGAGTGGAGGGCGGGCGCCGAGCCGCTGGTTCCTCCTGCGGTGCTGGCTGGCAGTGGCCGTTGGACCGTCGCACGACGTCCTCCAGTCTGGAGCAGAGGAGGGAGATGGTGAGCGCGCTGCCGGAGCCCCAGCCCATCCCTGCACCCCGAGACACGGCGGGGGGGGGCAGAGCTGGAGCCCAGCCCACGGTGGCCGGGCCGCATCCGCACGGGCTCGTCCCAGAGTCCAGCCCGGGGCCATGGCCTTCCAGGGGAGCCCCGAGGGTCGGGGGCCGCTGGCCACCCGGCAGGCACTGCCGAAAACCTCAGGGTGTCCTCCGGCAGGACGCGGACAGGGGGGCGACAGGCCCACGAAGCACAGGGCCAGCCAGGCCCCGGCGCCGGCGCCGGTCCCGGAGCGCAGAGAACGGGGGGGGGGGGGGGGGGGGGGGGGAGGGGGGAGGAGGATGTGGGCCCCGGCCCCGGCCGACCCCTGAGTCACCAGCCTGGGGTCGGCCTGGGTCGCAGGCCCAGCCCACCCGCCCTGCCCCACCCAGGCCGCCCTTCAGCGGGCCTACTGAGTTCCCTAAGCTCTCCCATTTATGGAGTGGTGTTGGGACGTTCGGAGAGGAAGTTCCAGTCTGAGTGGGGATGCACCGGGGCTTGGTCTTTGTGGGGTGTATGGGCCATTCCCCCCTGCCGCTGGTCCTGGCTTGGTCCTTAAAAGGCCACCCAGGGACAGACGTGCCCCTCATGGGCATCTCTGCAGTCCTGCCACTGCCGCAGGGCCACACAGGTCACCTTGTGAGCAAGGCCTGCTAATTCCTGACCCGACCTGTGGGGGCAGGTGCCCCTATCCTCAAGCTCAAACTGCCTGCAAGAGTCCACTTAGGTGGCTGGGAAGTTGGCTCAGTGATAGAGTACTTGCCTCGCATGCATGAGGCCCTGGGTTCGATTCCTCAGGGGATTTTCTTTTTTGCTTGGCAATACTCAGGTTTGAACTTGAGGGTCTCTTGCTTGCTAGGCAAGTGTTGAGACTAAAAGAGACTATTTCCATGATCAGGAGTATGAGCAAAGAAAAGGAGCAGAAAGATGAACTCAACAGACCAATAGGTTTTATTCAGGATGAAAACCTGGGGAGGGTGACCAAGTCTCCTTCAGCCCTGCGCACCTCCCTTACCGC